TTCGCTGAATGTATCACCCAATGGTTTTCGTATATGTATATTTGTGTATGTATATGTATATGTATTATATATATATAAATATATATGTGTATATATAAATTTCTCAAAAATAGTTTTTTAAATATCTGATGCATGCAGTTGTCTACTCAATCTTTCTAATTGATACTTTTCGCACCTCTTTCTCAGACCCCCGAAGGCGACGCCATTGTCAAACGGCGGCAGCCTGCACTCAAACCCGTCACAGCCAGGCCAAGCAGTATAGCTGCAGCACCTGAAACTGATTTTCTCAGTCACAGCACACACCTGCAACGCACACGCACCTCCTCACACACACACGAACGTAAACGTGTACCCACGCCTCCTCCTAGGGATGCACCCGCAGAGTCACACAAGCATGTGACCGGAGATACGCAATCTCGTACCCAAGCGCGAGCACATGCGAAGACACAAGGCACCGAGCATAAACATCAGTCTGTGGTGAGTGCTGAGGCGGGCGTGCTGTTGGCGGCGACGAGTACGGCTCAGCTGCTGCAATGGTATGGGGGCTAGTTCATGTGGATCGCATGTGTTGAGAGATCCTAAAACTTCGTTTTTTGTTTTATTTTCAGGAATGGAACGTATCGGGAAAGGTCAGGTGTCTTTTTGTCCCGTTTATATATATCTCTCGTATGTAAGACATGGCATACATCTATATAGTTGTCGGTATAAGTGCTGCACTCATACACTCACACGGCCTTCGGTTCACAGTATAACTTGGCCCACACATTTATACAGCTAGCTGTGCGTGCTGCGCTTTCTTCCTTCTTGCTTGCCAATTAGCCAAATGAGTCCACGGCGATCTTCGATAGCTGGTGATTGTGTTCTGTGTGATAATTTAGATGCTCATCGAGGAACTAAGTTGCTCATCGAAGCTATTTTTCATTTACCAGAGCGACTCCAACGATCTGCCGCTTTCCACGGCACGACGGGAATAGTTGTTCAATCTCTCTCCTATTGGTTGTTATTTTTAGGTACGATGAGGATCTATCAGAATCGCCGCGAGCTAAAAATAGATCTGACCGCTCCAGTGTGACCAACTCACTCAGTCGAGAGGAATCATTCACTTTGTTCTCTATCAGTGATGGCGACAATACCGAAGGTGAACGACCTCACGTACACGAGAAAGGGCCGGAGAAACCAACCAACTCGCACACATCGGAAGTGCATAAGGGTATAGAGAAAAGTGTGTGTGCCTGTGTAGACGCAATATATGCAATGGGTATTTGTCTGTAGATATGAATCATTTATGGGTGACTATGAAACGTAAATCGACTGGTCTGTAAGTTTGGTTAAGGTCCAATCGTTTAGGAGTCTTCTGTATTTCTCCTTTGCCACCGAAAGCATACAAATCGAGATTGTCCGCAGTCACCCATGTATGTTGTGAGAAGTGTGAGGTGGGCTCATCGGATTGAATCCTCTATATCGTCTTTTACCCATGTCTGGACCACAGACCTGTCTGTTTAGTATTGACTTATCCTGAATACCTTTTGGATTGTTCTGTGCTGTCGCGGTCGGTTTAGAAGGGTACATACATACACTGGTTTGCCAACAGCTGGCACTCCTAGGCAGTGTGAGAAGGAGAACTCAGACACGTCAGAGCGGTCCCATATCATATTCCTATACCATGAAATACAGTCTTGTCACTCTACAATATTTGACGCTATATTGACACCTGGCACCACCCACTGTGAATGTAGGCATGTTTACAGGCCCCACCACGCCAGTGGCGCAACTGAAACCACCGCCTTCATCGCCTGTGAAGCGTCAGACATCTGGTAATGGTTTGGGTCGACCCCATCTGCGCACTGCCAGTAGCCACACCAAAGACGACTTCTTCCCTGGTATGTGCTTACTGAATATATGTATACTTGTTTGAATACTTACATATGTGTGACACTTCAGCATTTAGGTGAAGAAATAGATGTTTGCATAAATTTGAGTGTATTCATCTTGTATATATATATATATGTATCTATATATATATATATATATGTATATGT